AAAAAAAAAAAAAAAAAAAAAAAAGGAAAAGAAATTCCAAATGAAAAATATTGTGAGGGAAAGTTGCATGAGATGGATTTAATATTTACTAATACAAATGTTTTATTTAGTGCTAAAATTTATTTTAAAATTTGACAAAGCAAATTATTGTAAACAGGCTCAGTGTATAATCTAGGAAGTGCATTTTCAAACATATTTGAGTATTCTATATTTTATATGTGAATGTTTTAAGTTTAAAAACTATATATAAAATTTTTTAAATGTGTTTAAATTTAAAAAAATTTAAAGCCAGTGTATTTAATGTTTTCTTCCCTACCCCCATAAAATACAAGATAACTGTTTAGATATTTATCAGTTGTTCAGTAGTATCTGAATTCTTGAATTCTTTAAAATGAATTTTACTTTAAAATTAAATGAGTCATCAGTCATGCCAAATAATTGGTGTCATTTATGATATGACTAATTAATTGGCAGTATTCTCAGAAGTTTCTGCCCAATCCAACATAAATACCTTTGGGCATTTAGTGTTTGCCCATCCTCTAAAATGTAAAGGGAACTGCCCCCAGGCCAGAATGAAAGGTTGGTCATTGGCATGCCTATCGTCATACCTCCTTTTGTGGTGTTTTGGCTTTTTAATAATCTCACTTGAGTTTGACTTATACTCCGCCCTGCTTGCAAATTTCTTTTTTTTTAATTATAACATACATATTGATAAAGCACATATTGTAAGCTTGACTTCTAACATCTTAAAGCCAAAATCAGTTCTGCTGGAATTATACAGTACATATTCTTGCTCATTATATAATCTGGCTTTCATCACTAGATTTGTGTGGTGCATTTATATTGGTTTGTGTAGTTGTAAGTTGTTTATTCTCACATTTGTATAATATTCCATCGTGTGAATTTATGTATTTGTTCTTGTGTTGTTAGACCTAATTTTGCTTAGGTTCCCAGAGCTCTCATCCTCAAACATTCTTGTACTCTATTCTCCCTACAAAATCAAAACAGGCAATGAAGGAGAAAATCTGGTGTTTGTATTGTTGTGCTTGACAATTGGTATTATAGTTTAGTGAAAAGACTATAAGATTTAAGTACTAGCTTTGCAACATACTCAACTAGATGATCCTAGGCAAGTCACTGTACCTCTCCAAACCTCTGTTTCCCCACCTGGAAAATGGGATAAGAATGTAAGTCTTATCTAACATAAAGGGTTCATTAAGGATCGGAATAAGTAATATATAAGAAAATAGGCTGTATACACACATACTCACACACACACATATAAGCACATGAAAATAAAAATAACAGGATTGTTACTGGTAATGTGAATTCGTTCTCATCTCAGCAGGACATTTGTATTTTTTGCTTTTCGTTTCCAATTGTAGAATGAAAATTTTTAAGAATGTGTAGACATTATCATTGTCTTTTAAGTAGATATTTTTACATAATTAGCAATTATAACTGTTTATAATACTGACTTTGAATATATGCAGCCTGAAGGTAAAATAAGTATGAAAGTTAAATAACTATCTCTTTATATGTTTAGGCTCGATTATTTGATGAACCTCAGCTTGCTAGTCTTTGTCTAGATACAATAGACAAAAGCACAATGGATGCAATAAGTGCAGAAGGGTTTACTGATATTGATATAGGTAAGTTCACTGTGAAGTAAATTGTTAGGTTTTAAGTACACTTAATGCCTTACTTGTCAGCCTTGTTGGAGAAGGAGCTGTTTTTAAATTAGTGGCTTTCCCAAATGATTGAAGCCTCTCTAAGAGTTTTGCTTTCTTTTGTTTTGGTGAAAGTATTTCTAAAAGTCTTAAGTACCTCGTTGCCTTTTAAAAGATTTCAAATCAAATAAATATTCTTTGAATGCTCACCATATGCATGGCATTATTCTAGGTTCCATAGAAAATATAAAAATGGGTAAGAGGCGAGTTGTCTTGTTAAGGAAACATCTGATTGGAGAATCAAAGAACAAATATGTGAAAATTAAGATTTAAAACACGAATAGAAGAGAGGCATTAATACCTGGGTGATGAAATATTCTGTACAGCAGACCCCCATGACACAAGTTTACCTATGTAATAAACCTGCATATGTGCCCCTGAACTTAAAGTTAAAAAAAAAAAAAAAGAAAAGAGAACATATGGTAAAATGTGATTTCTGCCTTTTCTAAATTAGACATGTAGAAAATGATTACTATGCAAATCCAGAAAACAGAGCAATTACTTCACATTGCAGTAGTGTTAGGAAAATTTTGACAGAGGAGGTTCTGATATGAGCCTTAAAGAATGGATAGTACAGTAGGTCCTTGAATAATGTCGTTTTGTTATAATGTTGATAAGAAAAAAATTGACTCCTAGCAGGGACCACTGCATAGAGTTTACACATTCTCCCATACCTTCATGGTTTTCTCCAGGTACTCTAGTTTCCTCTCAAATCCCAAAGATGTGCATGTTAGGTTCGTTGGTGTGTCGAAATGGCCTCAGTCTAAATGAGAGTGTGTGTGAGTGTGCTCTGTGATGAAATCACGTACTGTGTGGGTTTGGTTCTTGCCTTGTACCAAGCCACTGGGATAAGCTCCAGCCAGCTGAAACTGAACTGGAATAAGTGGAATGGAAAATGATTTATCAAGTAAAAATGTGTAACATATATGATAATCATATAAATATTTGATGATAAATGATGCAGTCTGAAAGTGCTCAGCAAGCCCACTGTGTATTGTTTGCTTTTGCACTGCATTGTGTGGGAGGTGCTCCTCAAAATTTTCACTTTGTAAACATTTATTCTTGGATTTAACCCACCACCATGACTGCTGTCACTCACTGATACTCACTAATTCACCAAAAATTGGGTAAATGATTCTCTTTCTTATCTTTATTAATCTTTCTTAAATGTATGTATAGCTCACATTTATTTCACTGGTTTTTTTTTGAGATGAAGTCTCGCTCTGTCACCCAGGCTGGAGTGCAGTGGCGTGATCTCAGCGCAGTGCAACCTCCACCTTCCAGGTTCAAGAGATTCTCCTGCCTCAGGCTCCTGAGTAGCTGGGATTACAGAGGCATGCGCCACCCCGCCCAGCTAATTTTTCTGTCTTTTGTAGAGAAGGAGTTTCACCATGTTGGTCAGGCTGGTCTCCAACTCCTGACCTCGTAAACACTTGTGTCAGCCTGTCAAAGTGCTAGGATTACAGGCATGAGCCACCGCGCCCAGCCTGTTTCACTGTTTAATTTAGAAGTGCTTTGAGTCTTGAAGCTTGGTGGTATTTTTGTGACCAGAAATATGCCGTAGGAACTTAACTCGTTTATATCAGTTGGCTCATGGTAAAATTGCTTTCGTCAGACATTGATTCACTGGAAGTCACAGTTTCCAAGATCCCAAACATTGAGGACTTACTGTATTTGGATAGTGGAGAGGGGAGGGCATTAGGGGCAAGTGGATCCTCAGGAAGAAGTGTATAAGAGGAAGGAGGTGCAAGGCAGGTTAAAACCAGCTGATAGAAGACCATCTAATGACAGGCTAAAAATGTACCTTTTGTCTTGTAGGAGAGTAGACAGATCTAATCCAGGCCCATGGCTTTAAATACTATCTTTTGATGATAAACCCAACATGTATCTTCAATCCCTGTCTTCTTCTGGGCTACAAACTCATATACCCAACTGTTTACTTGACACCCTTATTTGGAGATTTTGTAGGCATTTGAAACACAACAGTTAAAGGAGAACCATTGATTCCCCTCTCTCTCTGTTAGGTCTCTTCTGTTCCTTTCCAACTGTTTTCAGTCTTCCTCAACAGCACCACCATGAACCTTATTGCTCAGGCTAAAAATCCCAGAGTTGTTCTTGATTATTCTTTCTCTCACACCCTACATGCAGTTATATCAGCAGGTGCTCATGGCTGTACTTTGAATATGTATCCTGAATCTGACCACTTCTTACCATATCCGTGGCTACCACCTAGTCTAAGCCACCGTTGTCTTTCACCTGCATAACTGCAGTGGTCTCTTTCATCCACTCTTCCTCCCATGCACTCCAGTCTCTATACTCCAGTCTTTACATGACAGCCAGAATGATCTTTATAAGTAAAAAATCGGGTCATATAAATTCCTTGCGTCCAGTGTCTTCCCACTGCTCTTTGCATAAAATTTAAATTCCTTATCAAAACTCACAGTGCCCTGTGTAATCGGGTCTTGTATTTGTCTGGGTATATTAGGCTAGGCTGTGGTAAGAAATAGACCCAAAAGTGCAGACTGGCTCAAACACAAAAGAAGTTTATTTCACACTCATATAACAGACCAAGGAAGTATTATAGTCAGCAGGTAGCTCTCTTGTTCTGTTATTCTCTAGTGCCTAGTTATTATCTATGTTTTGCTGGCAGATGAGAGAAAATGTGGACAGGGAAAATGCCCACATATTAAAAGCCTTGGCCTTGATATGGCACCTACATTTTGGCTGTTATTTTGTTGGTCCCATTCAGTTACAAGATCTCACCTAACTTTTGGGGATGCCAGGAGATGCAGACTAGTCACAACCCCGGAAGAAGAGAAAATAGCTTTGGTAAACCGCTGCAAGTCACTACCTACCTCTATCTACATCTGACTTTGTCTCCTACCATTCTTCCCCTAATTAAGGTCCCATATCTGCTGACCAGGATTGTTTATATTCCATTCTTTTGTGTTTGCTATTCCTTCTGATTAGAATCCTTTTCCCCCTGAATCTTTGCATCTCAGATTAAAGGATACCTGAGACCTCAGACCTACTTAATTAGATACCGTGTTCCCCTAAGCAATCTGTTTCATTACTCTTACTCAGATTTATTTTCCTGTAATACATTTGCTCTCTGAAAGTCTTATCTAGGTATTTGTCTCTGTGTGTGTGTGTGTGTGTGTATGTTGATTGTCTCCTTTTGTTTCCTAGATTGTAAACTCCCTGAAGGAAGGGACTTTGCCTTGTATACCACTGTATCTCTAGCACTAAAGACAGCAGAATGTAGTACATGTTCAGCTGATAGTTGTTGATCAAATGGACTGACTGGCTGTGTCTAGAATAATGCCATTTCTTCCCATCTTGGGTGGCTCTCACGCAGTCTTAAGATGTTGGCTCAAATACACTTCCACATGACTCTTTTTTTTTTTTTTTTGAGGCAGAGTCTTGCTCTGTTGCCAGGCGCCAGGCTGGAGTGCAGTGGCGCAATCTTGGCTCACTGCAACCTCCGCCTCCCGGGTTCAAGCAATTCTCCTGCCTCAGCGTCCCGGGTAGCTGGGACTATAGGCACACGCCACCACACCCAGCTAATTGTTTGTTGTATTTTTTAGTAGAGACGGGGTTTCACCATGTTGGCCATGATGGTCTCGATCTCTTGACCTCATGATCCACCTGCCTCGGCCTTCCAAAGTGCTGGGATTACAGGCTTGAGCCACCGCACCCGACCCATGACTCATTTTTTGAGAGGTGATACTCCACCCTCCATGATGCTTGGTATATTCCTTTGTTCTAACGTCCTGTTGTTAGTTTACCTGTGTATTGCACAGTACCTTGGGAACAAATAATACACTGCTTATAATACACTGAAGGACAGGGTCTAAATCAGACTCCTCCCCAGCACCTGCATGTGGTGTCTGTTGAGTTACTGGATATTTGAGAGTCCTAAACACTGCCTAAATTGTTAGTGAAACATTGCTTAATCCTAATTTCTTTCCTGTTAGGGACTGTCACATGCTTCGTTTGTTCTTCAGTCTGTTCTTATTTGAAGTATTACTGTCCGCATCTGGGTAACTTACACCTTATAAATAGCTCTTAAATTATGCATGCCATTGGAACCTGGGAATCTTGAAGTATGTGCCTTGTACAGCCTAGAAGCCCAATAAATACTTGTTGCTTTGATATGACTCACAGTTGTTTATATGAAAATTTAGTATTGTGTTGTATTTATGAAACACCTGCTGTGTTTTTATGATTTTTATTTGGCTCTCAGCTTTAACTTCTTACCTTAACACATCTGCTAATAGAAGACCTATCTGTTTTTCTACCCCATAGGCTAGTTTGTTTCAAATGTACTTGTTAAAAATTAGTAATTAAGGGCGGGCGTGGTGGCTCATACCTGTAATCCCAGCACTTTGGGAGGCCAAGGTGAGCAGATCACAAGGTCAGGAGTTTGTAGACCAGCCTGACTAACATGGTAAAAACCCGTCTCTACTAAAAATACAGAAATTAGCTGGGCGTAGTGGTGGGCACCTGTAATCCCAGCTACTCAGGAAGCTGAGGCAGGAGATCCCTTGAACCTGGAAGGCGGAGGTTGCAGTGAGCTGAGATCACACCACTGCACTCCAGTCTGGGTGACAGGGCAAGACTCTGTCTCAAAAAAAAAAAAAAGTATTTAAAGAAATGTATTTCTGATACATATTTCTGGATAATATAATGATATTTAATGTTTTAATTGATTTCTGCTATGTGTAACTATAGCATACTCATTTTTATTTTAAAGTATAACTTAGATATTTCATAGAAGTTCCATTTTATCTAAGTTCTTTAGAGATTTTCCTACACATCTAGAATTGTCCGTTTTTAGAAACTGGGGTATTTATTTTGACCCTTTGAGAAATCAAAAACATGTTTTACGTTACCTGCCTATGTTAAACAATGTGTACTGAATATAATTTAGGATTCTTGCGATTATTAATGCTCACTTTTATAAGTACCAGTTATATTATTATTGTACAGTGAAGCCCTCAGGTCTCTGAAGTGTTGTTTTTATTTTTTAAAAAATCTTCTATGAGACCTTTGATTGCTATTCTTTTAAAGTACTTAACATCATCTTTTCACAGATTTCCTCTTTTCTCTATCCCTGTTAGATTGCAGTTTATCATTTCATTCTATTATATTAGCCTCTAAATCCCCTTTCTCTTCTGAATTTACTGCTTCTGGCCTGCTGGAACTTAAAAGTAACTGAGTTTTTTAATTTTGCCTATCATAAAAGAAAAATGATTCTGAGTGAGGACCTGAGGTACAGGCATGATGTATATACTTGGATGTCAAATAGGGAATTCAAACTTAGTATGTCTAAAATTAAACTTTAGCTCTTTCCCCACCTCAAACCTGCACCTCCTGTGGTCTTTCCCATCTTGGTTGATGCCACTCTCATCCCTCCAGCGCGTAAGCTGTATAAACCTTGCAGTTATTGTTGACACCTCTCTTTAAATCATACCTCATATCCAATCTGTTAGGAAATCTAATTAAGTCTTCCTTCAGAATATATTCTAAATCAGATCAATTTTCACCACTTCCACTGGTATCCTCCTTGTCCAGGCCACTGTCATCCCTGACCTGGATTGATGTAAGAGCCTCCAACTGCTACTGTCTCCACTGTAGCCTCTTCTCAACATGGAAGCCAGGGTGATTCTTTTAGAACATAAAGTATGACAACTCAGAACCCTCCAGGCCTTCCCCATGTCACTCAGAGTAAAAGTCAAATGATCTACAGGGTGCTGCATGATTGCCCCCACTCCCTGCAGCCTCTGGCCTCCTTGCCTGCTACTCTTCCCCCCTGCTCACTCTACTCTGCCACACTGGCCTCCTTACCATTCCTCAGATATACCAGGCACACTTTCATATGCCAGCCTTTGTACTTTTAGTCCTGGAATACTCTTCCTCTAGGTATCTGTTTTATTCCCCTACTTCCTTCAAGTCTTGGTATAAATGAAGCATGCCTAAACCACCCCATTTTATTATTTTTTTTGGCATAGTCTCACTTTGTCGCCTGGGCTGGAGTACAGTGGCATCATCATGGCTTACTGTAGGCTTGACCTCCCAGGCTCAAGTGATCCTGCTGCCTCGATTTCCTGAGTAGCTGAGACTACAGGTGCATGCCACCATGCCTGGCTAATTTTTAAAAAAGTTTTTTATAGAGATGCAGTCTCACTATATTGCCCAGGGTGGCCTGAAACTCCTGGGCTCAAGCCATGCTCCTGTCTCAGTCTCCCAAAGTACTGGGATTATAGGAATGAGCCAGCATGCCTGGCTCATTCCTATTCTAAACTGCATTTCTGATACTTCTTAATCTGATATTTCTGCTCACATATGTCATCTAAGATACTCGAATTTATGTATGTTTATTTAATCTGTTTTTCCTCATTAGAATGTAAGCTCTATGAGGGCAGGGATTTTTAACTTTTTGTTCAATGATATATCAGTGCCAGCTGGATGCCGTGGCTCACACCTGTAATCCCAGCACTTTGGAAGGCCAAGGCAGGCAGATCACTTCAGGTCCGAAGATCAAGACCAGCTTCACCAACAGAGTGAAACCCTGTCTCTACAAAAAATACAAAAATTAGCGAGGCATGGTGGTGCATGCCAGTAATCCAAGCTATTCAGGAGGCTGAAGTGGGAGAATTGCTTGAACCTGAGAGGCAGATGTTGCAGTGAGCTGAGATTGTGCTTCTGCACTCCAGCCTGAGCAACAGAATGAGACTATCTCAAAAAAAAAAAAAAAAAGAAAGAAAAGATCAGTGCCTAGAATAGTACCTGGCACATAGTGAGTGCTTAATAACAAATATTTACTGAATGAACAAATATGAATTATAATCTGTAGACTTTAAGAATTTATGTAAATAACTTGGAACCTTTTCTGTGGCTTATTAATCTTATTCTGGATAGTTGAGTTTACTTGACAAATGGCATAAATATAAAAGGAGAGTACTGTATCTAATATTGCATGTATGGTAGGTAACAAATTGATTGTTAACCTTAAACTGATTTTTATGGAACACTTTGGAGTTTAAATCCTTTAATTCTTTAGTATTTTAAAGTATAAAGTCTGTAGTTTTAAGTGTCTAACCTATTTTTTGTTGAGATCTAAGCACATCTGTTGGTATTGCTTGGTTAGAGAGCAAAATATTCCTAATTTGATTTATTTTGTATTTTGCCCATAGACACTCTCTGTGCAGTTCTAGAAAGAGACACACTCAGTATTCGAGAAAGTCGACTTTTTGGAGCTGTTGTACGCTGGGCAGAAGCGGAATGTCAGAGACAACAATTACCTGTGACTTTTGGAAATAAACAAAAAGTTCTAGGAAAAGCACTTTCCTTAATCCGGTTCCCACTAATGACAATTGAGGAATTTGCAGCAGGTAAGGGTATAAATTCACCAAAATCTATTCGAACTGTTTCAATAGTCTCTCAAGGCCGAGCATGGTGTCTCACACCTATAATCCCAGTACTTTGGGAGTCCAAGGCAGGTGGATCACTTGAGGTCAAGAGTTTGAGACCAGCCTTGCTAACATGGTAAAACCCCGTCACTACTAAAAATACAAAAAGTAGTCAGGCATGGTGATAGTCTCCTGTAATCCCAGCTACTCGAGAGGCTGAGGCAGGAAAATCGCTTGAACTTGGGAGATGGAGATTGTGGTGAGCCAAAATTACACCATTGCACTCCAGCCTGGGCAACACAGCAAGACTCCATCTCAAAAAAAAAAAAAAAAAAATCAGTCTCCCTGTGCCAGAGAGGAAAAGAAGCTATTTATTGAGTATTAATCACATGATAAACATATATGCATGTGTATGAATTCATTTAAGCCCTCCAAAATTGTGTTATCCACCTTGTATAGGTTAGAGAAGTGAAGTTGGGAAGAGGTTGAGTGCCTTGCCTCAAGTTATGACAGATCTTTTTGACTCTTTATTTTCTTTCTTTTTCTATCTTTTCTTTTCTTTCTTTTTTTTTTGAGACAGTCTTTCTCTGTTGCCCAGGCTGGAGTGCAGTGGCACGAACACATTTCACTGAAGCCTTCACCTCCCAGGATCAATCAATCCTCCCACCTCAGCCCCCCAAATAGCAGGGACTATAGGTGCACACTACCACACTTAGCTAATTTTAAAATTTTTTTGTAGAGACAGGGTTTAACTATCCTGCCTAGGCTGGTCTTGAACTCCTGGTCTCAAGTGATCCTCCTGCCTCAGACTCCAAAAGTGCTGGGATTACAGGTGTGAGCCACCATGCCCAGCCTCTATGTGACTCTTAAGGTTGATGCTTCTGATTAAAATCAGACAGATCTGGTTTTGAGTCTCCATGACCACTTATGACCAGTTTTCATTACCCATATCTTAATTGAGTATTATCTGCTTTTAAATCATGGCCAGGTTGAGGTGGGAGAATTGCCTGAGCCCAGGAGGCGGAGGTTGCAGTGAGCCAAAACTGCGCAGGCAAAAAATATGAACCACTGGACTCCAGCCTGGGCAACATTGCATTCCATCCTGTGCGCCATTGCACTCCAGCCTGGGCGACAGAGTGAGACTCCTGTCTCAAAGAAAAAAAAAAATCCTGAGGCTTTTCTTTCTTTTGAATCTACCTGGCCGTTATTATTTTATTTTATTTTTATTTTTATATTTTTTTGAGAAAGGGTCTCCCTCTGTCACCCAGGCTGGAGTGCAATGGCATGATCTCAGCTCACTGCAACCTCTGCTTCCTGGGTTCAAGCAATTCTCCCACCTCAGCCTCCTGAGTAGTTGGGATTACAGGTTCATGCCACCACAGGCTGGCTAATTTTTGTATTTTTAGTAGAGATAGGGTTTCACCATATTGGCCAGGCTGGTCTCAGAACTCCTGACCTTAGATGATCTGCCATCCTCAGCCTACCAAAGTGCTGGGATTATAAGCATGAGCCACTACCCCTGGTCTTCATGATTATTTAAAAAATAATTTCAATTTGGCTAGGCGTGGTGGCTCACACCTGTAATCCCAGCACTTTGGGAGGCTGAGGTGGGTGGATCATGAGGTCAGGAAATCAAGACCATTCTGGCCAACATGGTAAAACCCTGTCTCTACTAAAAGTACAAAAATTAGCTAGGTGTGGTGGCGTGTACTTGTAATCCCAGCTACTTGGGAGGCTGAGGCAGGAGGATTGCTTGAACCAGGGAGTTGGAGGTTGCAGTGAGCCAAGATTGTGCTACTGTACTCCAGCGTGGCAATAGAGTGAGACCTAGTCTCAAAAAAAATAATAATTTCAACTTTTATTTTAAATTCAGGGAGTAACGTGCAGATTTGTTTCATGGGCATATTGTGTGATGCTGAGGTTTGGGGTACAGTTGATCTCGTCACTCAGGCAATGAGCATAGTATCCAGTAGTTAGTTTTTCAACTTTTTCCCCTTCTGTCCCTTCTTCCCTTCCCCTTTTTAACAGTCCTTAGTGGCTTTTGCTGCCACCCTCATGTCCATGTGTATCCAGTGTTTCGCTGCCACAAGTGAGAACATATGGTATTCGGTTTTCCGTTTCTGCATTAACACTTAGGATAATGGCCTCTAGCTGCATCCATGTTGCTGCAAAAGGCATGATTTTGATCTTTTTTATGGCTGTGTAGTATTCCGTGGTGTGTGTGTGTGTGTGTGTGTGTGTGTGTGTGTGTGTGTGTGTGAGTCATATTCTCTTTACCCAGTCTACCACAGATGGGCACCTAGGTTGAGTCCATGTCTTGTCTTTGCTGTTATGAATAGTGCTGTGATGAGCATATGAGTCCATGTCTCTTTTGGTGGAACAATTTATTTTCTTTTAAATGTGTACCCAGTAATGGGATTGGGATTGCTGAGTTGACTGGTAGTTCTAAGTTCTTTTTTTTCTTTTTTTTGAAACAGCCTCATCCTTGTCACCCAGGCTGGAGTGGAGTGGTATAATCTCAGCTCACTGCAACTCCTACCTCTTAGGTTCTAGTGATTCTCCCACCTCAGCCTCCAGAGTAACTGGAACTACAGACGCCCACCACCATACCCAGCTAATATTTGTGGGTTTTGGTAGAGATAGGGTTTCACCATGTTGGGCAGGCTGGTCTCAAACTCTTGACCTGAAGTGATCCTCCTGCCTTGGCCTCCCAAAGTGCTGGGATTACAGACATGACCCACTGTACCTGACCTTGGTAGCTATGAGTTCTTTGAGAAATCTCAAACTGTTTCCCACAGTGACTAAACTTACCTACATTCCCACTATCAGTGAATAAGCATTCCCTTTTCTCTGCAGCCTCGCCAGCAACTGTTTTTTCTACTTTGACAGGCATTCTGAGGAGTGTGAGATGGCATCTCATTGTGGTTTTGATTTGCATTTCTCTGATGATTAGTGATGTTGAGCATTTTTTTCATGTTTGTTGGCTGCTTGTATGTCTTCTTTTGAGAAATGTCTGTTCATATTTTTTTGCCCACTTTTCATGAGGGTTTTTTGTTTTGTTTTGTTTTTTGTTTTTTGAGATGGAGTCTCACTCTGTCACCCAGGCTGGAGTGCAATGGCGTGATCTTGGTTCACTGCAACCTCCGTCTCCTGAGTTTAAGCAGTCCTCTTGCCTCAGCCTCCTGAGTAGCTGGGACTACAGGCTCATGCGACCACGCCCAGCTGATTTTTGTATTTTTAGTAGAGACAGGGTTTCACCATGTTAGCCAGGCTGGTCGCCTTGACCGCCCAAAGTGCTGGGATTACAGGCGTGAGCCACTGTGCCCAGCCTGAGTTTTTTTTTTCTTATTGAATTGGTTAAGTTCCCTATAGATCCTGGATATTAGACCTTTGTCAAATGCATAGTTGGCAAATATTTTCTCCCATTCTATAGGTTGTCCATTTGTTCTGTTGATAGTTTCTTTTACTGTGTAGAAGCTCTTTAGTTTAGTTAGGTCCTACTTGTCAGTTTTTGTTTTTGTTGCAATTGCTTCTGAGAACTTAGTAAAAAATTCTCTCCCAAGACCAGTGTCCAGAGTGGTGGTTTCTAGGTTTTCTTCTAGGATTCTTTTAGTTTCAGGTCTTACCTTAAATCTTTATTCCTCCATCTTGAGTTAATTTTTGTGTGTGGTGAAAAGTATGGGTCCAGTTTCATTCTTTAGCATAAGGCTAGCCAGCTATCCCAGCACCCTTGAATAGAGATATGTTTGAATTGAATAGAGAGATATTTCCCCATTGCTTATTTTTGTCAACTTTGTCAAAGATCAGATGGCTGTAGGTCTGTAGCTTTATTTCTGGATTCTGTTTTCTGTTTCGTTGGTATATGTGTCTGTTTTTGTACCAGTAAGTACCATGCTGTTTTGGTTACTGTAGCCTTATAGTATAGTTTGAAGTCCAGTGGTAATGTGATGCCTCCAGTTTTGTACTTTCTGCTTAGAATTGCTTTGGCTATTCAGACTTTTGTTGTTGTTGTTCCATGTGAATTTTAGAATATTTTTCTAGTTCTGTGAAAAATGATGTTGGTAGTTTGATAGAAATAGCATTAAATCTGTAGATTACTTTGGGCAGTATGGCCATTTGAATGATATTGATCCTTCTGATCCATGAGTATGGAATGTTTTTCCATTTGTTGTGTCATCTGTGATTTCTTTCAGCAGTGTTTTATAATTCTCCTTGTAAAGATCTTTTACTTGGTAAAAATACATCTAACCAAGATGTGTGGATATAAAAATATCTGATAGAAATATATCTTGGTTAGATTTATTTCTAGGCATTTTATTTTTGTGTGGCCATGGTAAATGGGATTGCATTCTTGATTTAGCTCTCAGCTTGAGCATTATTGGTGTATAGAAATGCTGCTGATTTTTGTACATTAATTTTATATTCTGAGGCTTTATTGAAGTTGTCTATCAATCAGTTCCAGGACCGTTTGGTGGAATTTTTTTTTTTTTTGGGACAGAGTTTTGCTCTTTGTTGCCCAGGCTGGAATGCAGTGGCACAATCTTGACTCACTGCAACCTTCGCCTCCAGGGTTCAAGGGATTCTCTTGTCTCAGCCTCCTGAGTAGCTGGGATTACAGGCTCCCTCCACCATGCCCAGCTAATCTTTGTATTTTTAGTAGAGACATGGTTTCACCGTGTTGGTCAGCTTGGTCTCAAACTCCTACCTCAGGTGATTTGCCCTGCCTTGGCCTCCTGAAGTGCTGGGATTACAGGTGTGAGCCACTGTGCCCAGCCTGGTGGAATCTTTAGAATTTTCTAGATGTAGAAGCATATCGTCTGTGAAGAGAGATAGTTTGACTCCTTTTTTTCTTATTTGGGTGCCTTTTTATTTCTTTTTCTTTCCTGATTGCTCTGGTTAGCACTGCCAGTATTGTGTTGAATAGGAGTGGTATTGGCTGTTGGTTTGTCATAGATGGCTCTTGTTATTTTGGGGATGTTCTT